GTCACCTTCACTCACTCGTTCTTCTGTATCAAACTGGCTTTTTACTTGAGAAAGCACGTCGGAACTTTTGACATGTCTTCTTTCTTCTTGCAGCCACTCCAACTGATACATTTCAACAAAAAAAGAACACCAAGAACCTTTCTTTATTTCAGCAGCCTTAACCTCTCTACTTGGAGCATTCTTCATGATCTAATAGTGAAACAACTTAAGCTGATACACCATCAAACCATTCTCAATCTCGGAAACCAAATCTTGTACTCGCCTTAAGCAAATCCACCATAATCTTATCTTGCACCGCTGTTTAAAACAGGACACGCCGCCTAACACCCGTTGGCTAGGAAGACTCTCGACACAAGAAAATAGTACAGCCAATTGCATACCATCAAATGCTTCTTTTGTCACTTGAAGATTTGATTCAAAAAACAAGATCATTCCCGAGAAAACACTGCTAGCTCCACCCGAGATAAGAACTAAATGTTCTCTTAGATTCATTCCAGCAGAATCACCATGTGTTACACCAAACACAAAACTGCACAAAAAAAGAATCTTAGACACTGCCATCTTTGTCAAGAGTATTTACTCTCAAACAAGAACCCACACACTGTCCAGCTTACACCAAACAACATGTTTACAAAACCTTGCTGCATTCCCTCTGAAAATAGCAGCCTTGTAGCTTCATGTTCTCTGATAATCCAACAACATGTAGACTCACTCATTCACAAGAACTGATAGCTACACACAGAGATAAACCTGTAACCAAAACCCCTTTCAAAACTCAGCAAAACCAAAGAAGTTTCTCAAACCGTTTCTGTCTTCACCAAACAGAAAACTTGACTTGCTTCATTACCATTCTGCAACCTTCTTTAAACTGAACTTAAGAAAACCCTTGATGATACTTATACATCCATAAAACACTCATCATATTCAAGGTTCTAAGGCGTCCCCTAGTTCCATGAATCTTATGAGTTACTGGGCTGAATAACAACAACGATTAGAACACCACCTTCAACTGATTTTACCACACTTCTATGACCAGAAAAAACAACCTGAAAACCACCACTGGATCTTGGCCAATCCCTTGCAAAAAATCAATGCACTCTCTTTGTGTTCCAACTAGCTTTCAATCTTATTAATATGCAGAACATATGCAAATCTGAAACTTCAATACAGACCATCACACAATACTTTGTGACTGCAGCGGAAAACAGACTTAAAGTCTCTTTAAACTTGAGTTACGAAGTTGATGTTTGATAACAACATCAACTCTAACCGGTTTCTTCAACATTGATCAAGAGTACCCATCATTGATCATACCTTCTTGCATCCATCTCTATTCCTTTCCAATCAAGAGTAAACAATGTCACATACATGTGACTATCTTCATGTTTTACTCACTGCCACCTCTAATTTCTTTATAGAAAATTAGAAACTTGGATTTACCGGGAGAATCTTTGCAATTCCAAATTTAAGCTCTAGCATTCACTTACTTAGCTAATTTTGGAGAATTTGGAGCTTCTTTCTCTCGAGATTATTCTTCTTCAACCATCACTTCTCCGACGATGAGAATCTCGATGTGGTTTTCAAGCAACTGCTCCACCTTCTGTTTTACTGTCGAACAAAAAACAATCCCAGCTATAAATCCCAAAACCGCGATAAGCTATGGTCTTCACATATTGGAGCTACCCTTCCTGCTATCAACAATGACAATAGCTGAAGCACCATTGACCGGAGTCTCTACAGCTTCGGCAAAGCTAGCTTCTCTCATCGTTGACTGTCTCTTTGAGCTTCAACCTCAATCGCTTCATCAAGAGAAGCAACAAGAGAAACGTGACTGTTTCTCTTAATTTTGTTAACTTTTGGGCATTAAGAAAACTTCAGGCCCACTAAAATTTCATTAATGAGGGAAAAGGCCCATCTTGGTAAGGCCCATCTTGGTCCAATAGAAGAAAAAGAGTTTGTCGTGCCAATCTTCTCTTCTCTTCATCGTCGGCCACCGTAACACGATTTCACGGCCAACAGTCTGATGTTATCCGGTGACGTTATGGTCACCACACCTTCGCAATTCACTCTCACCGCGTCTCTTCCACGATAGTGAAAACTCGAAGCTTCGCCTTCTCCTGCTCGTTCTACACATAGCTCCGTCGTCAACTCTTTCACGACTATGTCTGAATCTCGAGCCACTCCGTCGGAATCTCAGCCTTTACCGGTGAGATACTCCCGACGTCCTTGTCTTCAATCTCTAAACACCACTAGAGCTCGTGACAAACTTCCTCTGCCTAAATCCGAGATTTCTACAGATTTTCAACAGAAATCTCTATATTGCTCCATCTACTTCTCTCAACGCTTCAAGCAGATCTAGGTCTTCTAGATGGACAAGACACACCGTCTTCTTTGAGAAGTCATCTCCAAAACCCATCGTTACACTAGAGCTGCGTTTTTCCAGAAGCCATTGTTGATTGCTTCTAAAGGTGAGACCTTCTAGACAAAACTTGCATCTTCCTTATAAAGCTTGAGTCTTTCAGCACTAACCTGTGCTCTGATACCACTTTGTTAGGTTTTATGAACCATCAAAGCCTCAAGCTTTCTCTGACTTGTCAAGAAACCAAGATCTTCTAACAGAGCAAAACATATAACTAAGAAGAAGAAGATAGAAACAGAGCAAAAGGAAAGAGAAGAGGAGCACACAAAGAAGTTTGTTTACCCAGTTCACTTCCACAAAGGGATAGCTACGTCTGGGCCGAGACTCTCCTCGGAATCGACTAGAACAAGCAAGTTACAAAATACAAGAGAGAATCACTCTGAGAAAGAGACTCACACTTGAGCTCTCTTCTCTGCATCTCCTCTGTTTTTCAGTCTCAAGAGAAACACCAAAGCTTACACCTTTAATGGCTATCTCTCATACTTGCTTACATCTCTCACATTGTGGCTTTCTCACACACTCCTCTTCTGGCCGCTTGGCTGCGACACCCTTTATGTGCCTTAGGTTAGTGCTTATAAAGAGGCACTCCTTAGACCTAATGTTTCTGCTGGATCCACAAATGGACAAACGATCCTTCTTGGACAGCAACTGCAAAGACACCTTGTGGTCCCAAAAGCCATATCCAACCAGAGTTAATTTACTTTAACTCTAGTTACCATCTTGTTTGCCTTTGTGTAGCACTTGTGTAGTTGATAAAACTTGTTCATCAAGTTCTCATCCTCACACCTAGGAAGTCTTACGCATTCAATGATTTTTACGGTTTTGGATATGATGGTGTATCTCGTGACAACTACAAAATCTTGAGATTTTACGATGAACGTATTTTCGAAGACAGGCATACGGGTAAGTACGACCCACCGGTTGAGATATACGACCTCAAGGCAAATTCTTGGAAAACTCTTGACATTTCTTTGGACTGGGTAGTATACTCGCCGTGTACTGGTGTGTCTCTGAAAGGAAATATGTATTGGATTGCTGGAAAATATAATGCCACAGTATTTATCCAACGTTTCGATTTTTCCACGGAGATGTTCAAAAAAATGAGCCTAGCTAATTCCTTTCGTCTATGGTGTATATGATAATGTATTAATGTAGCCTTATCAGCTTTTAGAGGAGATAAGCTTTCTTTGCTTCACCAACGCATATACGAAGACCATGATCAAGTTGGGGAGACTACGGTATGGGTCACAAACAGTGTCAAAGATAAGGTTGTTTCTTGGACCAAATTGTTTGTTGTGTGGAGACCTGATCTGCCAGCATTTAATCTAGGTGAAGTTCCTCCTCATTCGGTGTTCTTTATTGACCAAAAATAATAGGATTAATGTTATATGTTCTGAAAAAATAACCAGTGGAGGTAAATGTGTTTTCTTTGACTTATACATTATTGGTAAAGATGGATTCCAGAAAAGAGAGATAGAACGACGTAGGGTGGAAGAGGATAATACATACAAATCTGGTTATATGTATCTTCCAAGTCTAGTTCCAGTCCCATACTAGAGGATCTTCCCCCCCCCCCCCAAAAAAAAAGACATATTTAAGATTAATGTTTTATGATATGTTATATGCTTTAACTAGACTATAGTTTATAAATATTTTTCCAATATTATGTTAAGGATTAAATATATAGATATATTTCTGTTGAGTGATTTAATTGGTCGCTGCTTTGTGGTGTATGCTTTATACCTTTTACCATCGAGGCAGAATGATTAATATAACTTGTCAATTCGTTACAAAAATCATATATTTAAGAGCATAAATATATTTGACAAGAACAATAGGATCGTTGTATATTGTGACTAAGTATTAGAAGATGAAAGGTATGTTTGTGTTGGTGTGTATACGTTATTGGAGATGATGGATTAGAAAGCCCAATTTGGATAGATACAAAGCATCAAAATCGTGGGGGAATGTCATTGGCTTCTTATCTCTTGCTATGTGCGCACCGGCACCGTCCAAGCCTGGTTCTGGTTCTAAATAAGGTATACAATTGCTTCTTAGCGTTTTGTCTTTACGCATATGGCCTAGAATAGGTAAAAGCATATTTAAAGTTTTAACCTTTTCTAATTTCGTATTTTAAAACTTAACGCTTCTTCTAACATTCTGTAAGTAAAGTGGTTTACCATGTGGGTTCTATTTTATATTACAAAGAGATATTTGTTTTTTTTGTTAAAGATATTACAAAAGAGAGATGTAATATACATTATTATGTTTACCTTTTTTTATAGAATTACAACATCTAATCTAATAACTTTTGGTGATAAATTCCTACTTAGAAGGTGATTTGATATAGTATTTTTCAAAAGTAACGAAAATAAAAAGTAAAAGCTTAAAATGGAAGAACATCTAAACCCATGCACATATATTAGGACACTTCAATGTGTATGTGTGCTACTGACTGACTTAATGTCACGGATAGGTGGGCTTAATTAGAAAAGTGAAGAACGAAGTTCGAAGCCGAACCCTTTTCTTTAGGCGGTGCGCTCGAAAGTCGAAAACCGTGTTGACATATCAAAACATTGGGACCAGTCAGTTCTATACAAATGTCCAAACATTATTTCGGTCGTAACAATAAAGGAAGGAAATAAGGAAATTGTTTTTTTTAATGGATTCACTTGGTAACAGCAAACAGCGAATCAAATAATATATACATAATTATATCATAAGGCTGTGAATGTGTAACCAACTAGACAAAAGCACATGCACCATAATAAAGGATCAAACCCATGAAACTTCCATCTCTCTCTCTCTCTTTTCCCCTATATAAACTAATGTCACTTGCCTCATTATTTCCATCAACAATATACATCTGAGATACCAATACTCCCACTAGATATCTTATCAATCATGAAGTCTTTTGCGTTCTTGGTTCTTTTTCTCTTCGCAGCACAATCTTTTAGCGTCTATGCAGGCAGCTTTCACAAAGACGTCAAGATACATTGGGGTGATGGTCGTGGAAAGATTCACGATAATCAAGGGAAGCTTCTTTCTCTCTCGCTCGACAAATCCTCTGGCTCAGGTTTCCAGTCCAATCAGGAGTTTCTCTATGGCAAAGCCGAGGTTCAGATGAAGCTTGTCCCTGGTAACTCTGCTGGAACCGTCACGACATTCTATGTAAGTAATATGTAAACTTAAAGCATTCTTTTTGCTACTCTCAAGAAGATAGTCGTATATTGAAACTAATTGCTTATGTGATGACTTTGTGCAGCTTAAATCTCCCGGAACTACTTGGGATGAGATTGATTTCGAGTTCTTGGGGAACATAAGTGGTCATCCAATCACTCTCCATACTAATGTTTACACAAAAGGCTCAGGAGACAAAGAACAACAGTTTCATCTATGGTTCGACCCAACCGCTGACTTCCACACTTACTGTATTACATGGAACCCCCAAAGGATTATGTAAGTGTATCTTTTGATTCAAACTCCTTTCCTTAGTATATGACTATATGTGTGAGGATGTAAAAACTCATGAATCAAGATTCTTGTTTCTCTCTTCTTGCTCTCCAGTTTTACAGTTGATGGAATCCCGATAAGAGAGTTCATGAATGCCGAGTCACGTGGAGTCCCATTCCCAACGAAGCAACCAATGAGGCTATACGCGAGTCTGTGGGAAGCTGAGCATTGGGCCACAAGAGGAGGATTAGAGAAAACCGATTGGTCAAAGGCTCCTTTCACTGCTTTCTACAGAAACTACAATGTTGAGGGATGTGTATGGGCTAATGGGAGATCATCTTGCCCCGCAAATTCACAGTGGTTCACTCAAAAACTCGATCCCAACGGGCAGACAAGAATGAAAGCGGTACAGAGTAAATACATGGTTTACAACTATTGCAATGATAAAAATAGATTCCCTCGAGGTGTTCCTCCAGAATGCAGCTAAACTATTGATTCTTTGATTCGTGAATAAGTTACTTAGACATTGTCTTTGTCACTCAATATATGGTTCTCATCTATTATTTATCATTCATTTGTTTCTCACTCATGTACGTGGTGTCTGTGTAAGATTTATAAAGTATCAATAAATAATGAGTTCTTCCATTAACACCATTTTCGAAATCCTCCAAGACTCGTCCGGTTAAAAAATAAAAATAAAAATGAGCTCTTCCATTGTAAAACTTTACTTTTTTAAAAATTACTCTTTATCTTTAATTCGTAAATATTGAAAACAGTTTGCTACGTTACACGTACAACAATTTCTTGGGAAGAGATAAAATAATAAGCTTAGTAGATGGATCATGGATAAACGAACGTCACAAATCTAACAGCAGACATTTTAATGCTAAAGAATAATTTAATTCAGCGCGAATGGAGGCGAGAGACGGTGCGATATTTTAGTTGCGGTAACGTCAATAAATGTTTCACGATCTCTACATCATTCAGGATAATACATGTTTATAAATAAAATCTTAATACAGTAAAACCTCTATAAATTAATACTCGATAAATTAATAATCTCTATAAATTAATAAATTTATCCGGTCCCAAGTTGGGACCAGTGTAATTTTAGACATATTTCGATAAAATAATAAGATAATAATTTTTTGAAAATCCTTTGTAAATATATGGTCCCATCAATATTATAAATTAATAATTAGGTAAAATTTTCAAAATATATGTATATATAGATACATTAGTTTTTGTTAGATTTTATTTCTAATATTTTACTATATGAAAAATAGTTAGCATTCTATTTTAATACATAATTATTATTATTTTATTTGTAATTGAATATATAAAATACTAATTATCATGATTAAATCTTATTTTTAAATATTTTTAAAAAATATTTTCCAAATTAGGAATATCTCTCTATAAATTAATAATTATTAATTTATCGATAAATTAATACCTCTATAAATTAATAGATTTTCATGGTTCCAACATTATTAATTTATAGAGGTTTTACTGTACTCCAATCCAATATAAGACTGAGATGGACCATACTCTAAATTTTAGAATTATTTAATTCGAATTTGATTGTTAGGTTCGGTAATAATTACCATTTAGTCAAATCATTTACGTTTCTACAGAAAAGACTTTGGAAAAAGTGTAAGGTTAAAATATTTTAAACAGTCCAATAGTTATCGAAGTAATATTCTTTATGTAACTGGATATGTTTGGAAAAAAAGTTACTGTACTTAAATATTAACGGGGGACAATTATTACAATACACACATTTCACTCTTTTGGAAAGAACGCTATCTTTACGAGTAGTAAATAAATTATCTTACATTTTATTCCCGTAAAATATATAAAAATAAATAGAGTATCAGAATCCTCTATGCGGCGGAGAGGGTTTGCGCTCGAGTCAAAAAGTCGAAGCCGTGTTGACAATGACCTCGAAGCGGGACCAGCATGATACAAATGTCCATATACATTAGTCATCGTAACAATATACGAGTAATGAAAATATATTATATTGTGTTCACTTGTAACAAACCAACAACAAGGTCGTATGAGCCAGCTAGAGGATAGCAGATGATGATCAATAATAATCAATCAACCCCTATGAACCTTCCATCTCTTTTTCCTTTGCCATTTCCAGCCACTATATAAACTCATCTCACTTACCTCAAATTTTCATCGAGAATTAATACATTTGACATATAAACCAATACTCCTCGAGAGCGCTACAGACTAAATATGAAGTTTTCTTGTGGTACAAGCTTTGCTTTCTTGGTTCTGTTTCTCTTTGCTGTACAATCTGTGCATGTCTATGCGGGTAGCTTCCACAAAGACGTTCAGATACATTGGGGTGATGGCCGTGGAAAAGTTCGCGATAGAGATGGAAAGCTTCTTTCTCTCTCCCTCGACAAATCCTCTGGATCCGGCTTCCAGTCCAACCAGGAATTTCTCTATGGCAAAGCTGAGGTTCAAATGAAACTTGTTCCTGGTAACTCAGCTGGAACAGTGACAACATTTTATGTAAGTTACATACAATTTTTTTGGTCATTACTTGCTATTTCATAGATTACAAATATTGAGTTTGTTGGTGTTTCTCTTAACTTTATGTAGCTTAAATCTCCTGGAACTACATGGGATGAGATTGATTTCGAGTTCTTGGGAAACATAAGTGGTCATCCATATACCCTCCATACTAATGTCTACACAAAAGGATCAGGAGACAAAGAACAACAATTTCATCTTTGGTTTGACCCAACCGTTAACTTTCACACTTACTGCATCACATGGAACCCCCAAAGGATTATGTAAGTGCAACCTTTGATTCCTTATATGGTGTATGATCTTATACATCTCGAGCCTGTAGCTCATGAACTAACACTCTCTTTTTCATGTTTATCTCAGTTTTACGGTTGATGGCATTCCTATTAGAGAGTTCAAGAACTCAATGTCACGTGGAGTCCCATTCCCAACGAGCCAACCGATGAGGCTTTACGCAAGTTTGTGGGAAGCCGAGCATTGGGCTACAAGAGGAGGGTTAGAGAAAACAGATTGGTCAAAAGCTCCTTTTACCGCTTTCTACAGAAACTACAATGTCGATGGATGTGTATGGGCTAATGGAAAATCATCTTGTCCTGCAAATTCCCCATGGTTCACTCAGCAACTCGATTCGAATGGTCAGACAAAGATGAAAGGGGTACAAAGTAAATACATGGTCTACAACTATTGCAATGATAAAAGAAGGTTTCCTCGAGGTGTTCCTCCAGAGTGCAGCTAAATTATTGATTCTTTAATTCGTGCCTGAATAAGTTTACTTGGCATTGTCTTTGTAACTCAAATAAATGATTCTATCTATTATTTTCATTTAATGTGCTCGGTATTGGTGTAAGTTTTTTTAAATAAGCAAATCATAAAGGAATAAATTATGGAAAACAAGAGTTTTTGCTTCTAAAACTTAATTTGCTTTTTTTTTTTTTTAGTTTGTGAAATTTGTAAACATGGCATTGAGAAATTCATCACCAAAATACTCCAAGACTGTTGTTTGAAGGACATATATAAATACTCATAATAATAAGCTGAGTAGATGAATGAACGGACGAGAGGGCCTAGTTTCAACTTTTAAAATACATTTTTTTGGGACAGTCAAATTTCAGCATATACATATTTTATTTTTTTCAAAGGAATATTGTATTTCTTGATCCAGGTTATGTTAAGGTTCTTCAAGACAGTTTTAAAAGTGGCTTTAAAACTCAGTCGTTGAAAATATTATTCTCACTTGTCAATGGATATTAAATCAGATAAAAGAGTACACAAACAAATAATACGATGTTTTTGCGTTGGGAGGTCAAAGATATTGAGCCAAGATTAAACAAAAAAAAAAGAGCCAAATTAAGATTCTATAATGGAAATATTGTCGAATAATGAAAGTCAAAAACTAAGTTTTAGGAAACTTTGCTTTATCAGTAGATATATTAATTCAGTAAGTCATAAAGTTGTTAGGTGAGAAAATTGAATCCTTTCAAACAATTCAGTACTGACTTCTGATCATATTTTTGGGAATTTTTATGTAATTATGTACTTCAATTCAATCAATAATTCAACATAAACAATATAAAAGTAGTCATATTAATATGCAAATATTAGTTATTCGAACCCTCTATGCGGTGGGGAGGGTTTGCGCTCAGGTCAAAAAGTCGAAGCAGTGTTGTACAATGATCTCAACGCGGGACCAGGCATGTGCTGTTCAAATGTCTATATACATTATTTTCTCTGTTTTGTAACAAAAAAACGAGTAATGGAATTATTATTTTATCGAGTTCACTTTGTAACAACCAACAAGAGGTCTAATGAGCCAACAAGAATACAGCCCACGATTTAATAATCAAAACCATGAAACTTCCATATCTCTTTCCTTTCCCATTTCCAGCAGCTATATAAACTAACGACACTTACCTCAATTTTTCATCAACAATACATTTGAGATATATCAAGAGTCCTCGAGACATCTACAACAATACAATGAAGCTTTCTTGTGGTACAAGTTTTGTGTTCTTGGTTTTGTTTCTCTTTGCAGCACAATCTGTGCATGTATATGCGGGGAGCTTCCACAAAGACGTTCAGATACATTGGGGTGATGGCCGTGGAAAGGTTCGTGACAGAGATGGAAAGCTTCTTTCTCTCTCGCTAGACAAATCCTCTGGATCAGGCTTTCAGTCCAACCAGGAGTTTCTCTATGGCAAAGCCGAGGTTCAGATGAAACTTGTTCCTGGTAACTCTGCTGGAACAGTAACAACATTCTATGTAAGTTACAATACAATAGCAAAGCAGTTTATTCATATTTTGAAGTTCCTTAGATTACATATATTGAGTATGTTGGTGTTTATGATGACTTTGTGTAGCTAAAATCTCCCGGAACTACATGGGATGAGATTGATTTTGAGTTCTTGGGAAACTTAAGTGGTCATCCAATTACTCTCCATACTAATGTCTACACAAAAGGCTCAGGAGACAAAGAACAACAGTTTCATCTTTGGTTCGACCCAACCGTTAACTTTCACACTTACTGCATCACATGGAATCCCCAAAGGATTATGTAAGCACAAGCTTTTAATAATCTTATAAGTATTGAGGCTGTGAGCTCATGAACTAATTAATTTCTCTTTTTTTCCCTCTCTCTTTCAGTTTTACTGTTGATGGCATTCCTATTAGAGAGTTCAAGAACTCCATGTCACGTGGAGTCCCATTCCCAACAAGCCAACCAATGAGGCTCTACGCGAGTCTGTGGGAAGCCGAGCATTGGGCCACAAGAGGAGGGTTAGAGAAAACAGATTGGTCAAAAGCTCCTTTTACGGCTTTCTACAGAAACTACAATGTCGATGGATGTGTTTGGGCTAATGGGAAATCATCTTGTCCCGCAAATTCCCCATGGTTCACTCAACAACTCGATTCGAACGGCCAGACAAGAATGAAAGCGGTACAGAGTAAATACATGGTTTACAACTATTGCAATGATAAAAATAGATTTCCTCGAGGTGTTCCTGCAGAGTGCAGCTAAATTGTTGATTCTTTGATTCGTTAATTAATAAGTTATACTTGCCGTTGGCTTTGTAACTCAAATGGTTTTTTACTATTTTCTATGATTATATCATTCATTTGTTGCTCATATATATATGTGTGTTGTTTGTGTAAGATGATTTTTAAGAAGTAATAAAATTAAATTATGGAAAACTGCTTTCATTTGTGAACTTAGAATTTGGCTTCACTAGATTTATGAAAAAGTAAACACTGAGAGAGGTAAGAGGTTCATAAATGTTAATTGGGTCAGTAGTATGAAGGAACGTACGTAGTTCAATTAATCTCCTGAGTTAGAACACTATAGTCTTTCCACGGATTACATCTAAAATATGGATACATTGGTCTAATCATTTAAATTTGAACACTCCAAAAACACAAATATATATATATATATATCCATACAAAACTCTGTACAACCAAAAGTATGAATATAAAACACTAACCTGGTCAGGGCCGGCTCAAGCTTTTGATATGCCTAAAGCAAAAAAAAATTTTTGCTAAAAACTACCTGGAATAGGTTCGAACTCGCGACGCTGAGCATCAACTAAAGATAGTTTCGCCACTGAACCATCAAACAATCATATATATTGCTGCCTAAAGCCTGTCCTTTATGAGCTTTAGCTCTGGGCCGGCCCTGGACCTGGTTGTTCATGCTTGGTATGTGTCCCACACGTTTATTGACTACTGTCCTAGGTTTATAGATCGATCTGAACTGAGTCATGCAGAATGGACCGTTTGGGCCAAAGCTTTGTTGAGGTTGGACTGATCTTTGAAGGCTTTATAATCAGTTTTCTAGTATCTGCTATTTGTAAACATTGATGGACTGCTCCTTCCTAAATCCTACTGTTTGTTGAGTAAACAGAACAATCTTAGTAGTATGAAAAAACCAATGTTTGTACGGCCATCATAAATAAGAAAAAAAAAACTAAACGAGTTTAGTATTACTTTATCATTGCTTAGTTTTCATTTAAACTGCCTCACAGCAGCTAGCTTTTATTATTATTATCATAGTGTTTGAAAGTGCTGGACCTGGTAAGTGGTAATAATAGTAATCCATATATATTGACCTATAAGTCAATGATCATCTCTAATTCAAAAGTCTTCTAGGGCAGGTTCTTCTCGGACCATTCATGTTAAAGATAAATTATTAACTGATAAGTGTATAATATATTGATTTGTACATACGCAAAACTTGGAATTCAAATAGTTCCTTATTTTTTAATTATCAGCTAGAGTGTTCGAATTTGTGGTTATAACTTTAAAATGATTGTAAGAGAGTACTTTAATGTTAATGCTTGCAAATTAGAGAAATAATTTTTGTTCTTGAAAGCCTTAGTATCACTAAGAAATAGATTGTCACCCAAACGTTGTGAGAATAATTATTTGGTTTAAATTATAAATAAGTACAGAAAAATATATTGTAACTAAGTTTCCATTCAAAATTTCGTAATCAAACGTTCACAGCAGAGACTAAGTAGTCAGAGTTTAAGTGTTTGTATATTTATAAATTCGTTGCAATAGTAGTTTATTTGATATCATGTTATCATTATAATTAATATTAGCACTAGGAATTTATATGAGATTTTTAATGTTATAATTGGACTATAATTGAAATTATACTATATTATGTTAGCAATAAGTGAATATTTTTTTGTTGATGTATATCCAATGAAATCGATTTTTTTTGTCGATGTAAAATAGGTATTTATTTAAACAAGTGGCTAACTATAAAATTGTAGTGATGATGATTAGATTCAGATGAAGTGATCATAGTAACCTACTTAATTAATATATAGGCCATAACAAAGTTTGAAACAGACAAGGGACCTAAAGGACAAACCAAAAATAATTGATGCACCAGTTACTAATTACGCTTATCCATATGTTAACTTTATGAAAATGACATTCTGCCAATTATTTATAGTAAAAATGCCATTATACAAAGATATTTGGTTAGGCATAATTTTGTACTGTAACAAATGTCTATAAAATAATTTTAGTTTTCTAAATAATTGCGTGGTTATGCGGTGAGACTACAACTCTTTTATAGTTTGACTTTGACATGCATTGACGAACCCATCGTCATCAGTCTCATCTCATCTGTCGTGATACTTGACTAATATACGGAATTTTACGGAAATAAAACGTTACAGTATTTCAAGATTTTAAAATGACTAGATATTAACTCTGAAATATCAAAAATTTTCTGTATATAATGTTCTCTAAATTATATTTTTGAAAACATCTGATTAATCACTTGATATGGATTGTATTGTGGTGATAATTGTTATACTATAACATCTATATGATCATAAAGTTGAGCGTCTATAACCTTAAATCTTCTACTCGAACATATTTATCAGTTTAATCCAACACATCATCCCAAAAGAAGTAGTTATCCAGAAACCGATGAGTTCAATTAAGCACTATAGTGTTCAAAAAAGAAGATAACTCAATAACATTTATTAATCCCGGAATTGACAAGACCAGACTTAGTTGTCCGAGATGTGGGTTCGTTAAAATGAAGTATATGGTTGAGTTAATACTGAGATTAGGCCCTGTGATTAAGAATCGCTGATGAGCCATTTGATTACACTAATAAACTAATTAATTTCTAAAATGATGATACACAGCTGTAAGGAGTGGTAGGACCAAGTTGACGTTTTGGTTAGGCAGTCCAAATCCAAATTTCCATGTCAAGAAACTTCTATCCAATGAATCATATTCATATTCGTATAATTAACTTCTAGTATTAGTGTTCGCTTTAATTACGTAGCTATCCCCAAAATATTATGGTCCATAGTCTCCAAATTACTATTACTTCCTCAAAAGTATAGTTATATGGACTACTATTTAAACCCAAAATGTCTTTTCTACTTACCTCAAGTCATGTCAGCGTAACAAATTAACACAAGTTAGACAAAATGATTAATCATTATTTTAATGGAGTTCATCTACTACAAAAACAACGTAGTTCTTTTATGTGATTTCTCAATATAATGATGGTTCATCGTTTTATGATGTTACCGACGAAGAGATCAATATTTTTTTTATCATTTGGTACTTGGAAGGATATATAAGAGTTGAATAACGCCAAGTCGAACTAGAATAATATTCAAACGTGTAGTATGGGACGATATCATTTGTTGATATTCTATAGTTTTTTATGATATTGTTTGGCAATGATGTGAAAACTCAATATGATTTTTTCGTAATAATTTTAGACCACTTATTACTTCTTTTTGGCGTGGAAATAGAAGACAAAAATAGCAAAAAATTGGAAAATATCAAACATTGCTTGTTCCTTTATATGAACAATAAGGATAAAAAATAGCTTTGGTGCTTGAAAAAAGAAAAAAAGTTAGCCTTTTGAGTTTTGGACCACTCATATTCATTAGTCATTTCCAATAAATATCAGTAGTTGTCCTCATAGACAACATTAAATTTCTTTTATTTGTGGTTTTCTCCGATTTAATTTCTAGGTTAAGTACTGTCTACAGCTGTTTTAATTTGTCAAATCTGTGTATACCAATCAAATTTTAAAAATTTCTTCATTTGATCAACAAAAGAATAAAATCCACTTTGAACCAAAACCACTAATGCGTGCGTACATGGATTCACTATATTACTACTATATGATACATCTACACATGTATACTTATATTATTATGAATATACAAATAGATATGATATATTATGATTAAGGTTTACTTTGGTTCATATATAATCGTTCGTATACAAAGTTATATTAATCAATAATTGAATTCATTTGATGGAACTAGAATGGAAACAAAACAAAGTAGACCGATAGGTGTGGTTACACTGTATTGATCATAGTTTTGTATTATGCAATGACACATCTTAATTGACTCCCATCATTAATTAGTGACCAACCAAAAGAAATTGACCTTTTTTAAATTTAGAAACAAGAAAGCGTGTGTGTGGTGGTGGTGGTAGCTACTTGCTTGCTTACACCTTTTGCTAACGCAATCAAATCTTTAAACCCATACACTAAACTCTTACTTTTCTTCGTTGCTTCTAACGTCAATTCACATAATATATATACATATATGTATATATTATCTAATCACATCATCGTTTCATAATGATATTGCCAAAGAAATATTGTAAGCTTTATAAAAACGTTTTACGTTAAAATTTGCAAAGAAAAGGTCGACGTGAGTCAAAGCAAATTGTTTTGTTCTAAAAGCATGGTCCAATGGCGACCCAATAATTGGATACATACAAATTTTGCAATATAATCAAAATATTTAGAGAGAAATAAAGATATTCACAAGACATATTCTCTATATAAATTTCAAATAAATTCGAGAATTTGAAGTCGAACAATTCCACACGTAATATATTTTTAGACCTCTTGTTTCTTCTTGCCTCCCTACAGGCATATCTACGAAGTAATTTAAGATATATTAACATATTTAAATTTTCGAGATTCGTGTAAAAATTATACTCCATAAATTACAAACTACCAATTATATAGCAAGCAAGAAAAAAACATAAACAGAACCAAAAATTATTATAGCATTTACTAATACAAAAGTTAAAAGAAAAACCAAATAACTTTTTTTTTCGTTATATCCTCAAACACACTATCATCTTTTAAGATATTTCATTGGCTCACGGCAAATTTGTTTCTTGTCTAGCATCAATTTTTGATATTTTAGTCGGTCATGCATATCTTCCAAACGTTCCAAATTGTATTTTTCTTTCGAGAAAATGTAACATATTTCTAACAAATATGTTCATGTTTACATTTACTAATTACTATAACATTTGTTTAAGGATGGTAAACATAATCAGCTTACCAAATGATGGAGGTGCTCGAGACTACAGCTGTAATACGTCTTGCATGCAATGTCTTGATATTAGCCTCCTTTTGTTCACCCACTCTCTTCTTCTTCCTTGTCATTTATTTTATGTTATTCCTCTCTCTCCCACTATATATACCTCTCTCCCCTCTTCTCTCTTCCTCACATTCCTCACCAAACCCCCCACAAACACACATCCACACGTACGCAAGCTTTATAGAACCAATGTCTCCTTTCAAACTATTCTTCTTCACGGCTCTTATCTTGGCGGCGTTCTCAGCCTCCGTTGCTGATTTTAACAGCGATGTCAACGTAGCTTGGGGAAATGGCCGTGGGAAGATACTCAACAACGGCCAGCTTCTTACTCTCTCCTTAGACAAATCCTCTGGTTCTGGCTTTCAATCCAAAACAGAGTATTTGTTTGGAAAGATTGATATGCAGATTAAGCTCGTCCCTGGTAACTCAGCAGGAACTGTCACTACTTTTTACGTAAGATTATTTCCTTTTGAAAAGTTTTGAAATGATATGATGTTTACAGGAGTTCATCTTGATATTTATATGATTTTTGAATTTGCAGCTCAAATCTGAAGGCTCGACTTGGGATGAGATTGATTTTGAGTTCTTGGGTAATATGAGTGGAGATCCTTATACTTTACACACTAATGTTTACACTCAAGGAAAAGGTGACAAAGAGCAACAATTCCATCTCTGGTTCGACCCAACCGCCAATTTCCACACTTACTCTATCCTCTGGAACCCTCAAAGAATCATGTAAAGTCAAGAAAATCTCACCTTTCTTGCTACACAAGTAAATAAACCCTAATTAGGTTTTTTATCATCTTTTCTCATCCCTAATCTGTTCTGTTCTTCTTTTTGTTGTTCTCCTATCAGATTGACAGTCGATGACACACCAATTAGAGAGTTCAAAAACTCAGAGTCGATCGGTGTCTTGTTCCCCAAAAACAAGCCGATGAGGATGTACGCGAGTTTATGGAACGCAGACGACTGGGCAACTAGAGGAGGTCTTGTTAAAACGGATTGGTCCAAAGCACCATTCATGGCTTCTTACAGAAACATAAAGATTGACTCGAAACCAAACTCAAACTGGTACACGCAAGAGATGGATTCAACGAGCCAAGCTAGACTCAGATGGGTCCAGAAGAATTACATGATCTACAATTACTGCACTGACCGTAGAAGGTTCCCACAGGCCCCTAAGGAATGCACAGCAAGCTCTTAATAATCTCTATTACATATTTATTTATTTATCTATCTATCTTCCTCTGTCTTTTTTTTTCTTACTTCTTATGTGAATGAATGCTCTGTTTCTTGTTTGTCTATGTCTGAGAATTTCCTTTTTATTTTCTGGTTTTGATTCTTTTCGTTGTATATCTTTGTCCAATAAAAAGGCAATGGTGTGGCTTTACTCTTATAGAAGATATATATAGGGTTAGTTAAAAGTATATATATATATGTATAAAAAAGATGTCTCTGTTTAATTTGTAAAAAAAAATGTGTGTTTATGATAATGATAGTTCTTTCTTCTTCATCGTTTGATTTACTTTCTTTGTAATATGAGAAACGTGTTAAATGCCCCTTATTTCAATGCAATTATTGTAAATATATCAAAATTTCTTTACCAAAATAATATATCAGATTTATATTAACAAGACATGATTTTATAGTACATACACTTTGCCACTTCCTTAATAAACAAACGTATTAGAAAAATGAAAACACAATATCCATTATTCAGTGATTGGCAAATATTCACTGAAACGACGTCATTTCTATGAGAGCACTGCGTTACACGTTTATTTTATTTTAATTTATTTACTTTCTCCCTTTTAGTAATTTCGACTTCTCTCTTCTTCATCAGATCTGAATCAATTTCGCCCAAATCGTAAGCTTTTTGACCTAATTTGTTTCCCGGGAAAATATAACAAACCATCACCGGAATCTTCCGATTCCCCTCCGGTGAAGAAGAATGTCGCACAATGATACGATTCCGCTTTACCAATCATCTCAATCAGACATCGACGAGATTGAGAATATGATGAGCGATAACTTTCAATCAGGTCCGGGAACCGTGCTCCCGGCTCGTCCGCCAAGCCCTGCCCGTCCGTCCATTCCCGTTTCATCCTCACCTTTCGTTCAATCTAACCTCCCACCGCTTCCACCGTCATCTACTTCCACTCAGAAGGTGATGCCTGTTCCAGCTCCTCCGCCGCTTCCTTCAGCAGGTAACTCTGAAGGTTCCAAGACTATCGGAGGGAGTGGGTTCGGATCTCCTCCGAATACATTGACGGAGCCTGTTTGGGATACTGTAAAGCGAGATCTGTCACGGATCGTGAGTAATTTGAAGCTTGTGGTGTTTCCGAATCCGTATAGGGAAGATCCTGGGAAAGCACTTAGGGACTGGGATCTGTGGGGACCTTTTTTCTTCATTGTGTTCTTGGGTCTTACTCTTTCGTGGTCTGCTTCGGTTAAGAAGGTAAGATCTTCAGATTCTGATTCATTGGAACCTTTATGGATGCAGAACTCCGTATACTGGCTTTGCGTTTGTGTGATCAAGTTATGAACTTGGAATCTTAGCTTTAGAGAGTTCTATTGACATGTGATTTGAGCAGTCCGTATAGTTGAAATGTCCATGTCTTCAAAATGAAGAACTTTAAAGTGCACTCCAATGTAACATATTGGTTAGATTTGAATGATCATGTTATATGTGATCAAGTTATGAATTTGGAATCTTAGCTTTAGCGAGTTCTGTTGACTTGTGATTTGAACTTTCCTTATAGTTAGAATGTTCATGTATTCGGAATGAAGAACTGTAAAAGTGCATTCAAATGTGTCATATGGGCTAGATTTACAGCTCCCCTAGAATTTTTACATTCTTGTAGCATTGCTTTTAGTTTTGATTCTTAGTCTAGGGAAGCTGTTATTACTCCTTCTGTGCAGTCAGATTTGACTTGTAGAATTGCGTTCCATGAATGACAAACCAACTCATATGATGCTTTCATACTAATCATCCTCCCCTGTGCTACATGAGCAGCTGATCTGTTAGATTGGATAGACAATTTAGCCACTTTCGCCTTGTACTGATGTAGCCACTATAGCCAGAGCTTATCTGGCCAGTCCTTCATAGATTGGCAAGAACTGGTTTCTATTAGGATTTGTGAATTTATTGATATATTAGATAAGAAACTGTGAATGCAAAGGGTAAATGAAGACCTTTCCTTTTTTCCTTTGTTGGAATGTACATGAAGTTTAGGTCATGTATCTGAAAAGGCATCGAGTTGTTATCTCTGTGTGCTCTGTTTTTTAAGTTGTTTATCTGGCCAGTTGATCTGTTAGATTGGATAGACAATTTAGCCACTTTCGCCTTGTACTGATGTAGCCACTATAGCCAGAGCTTATCTGGCCAGTCCTTCATAGATTGGCAAGAACTGGTTTCTATTAGGAGTTGTGAATTTACTGATATATTAGATAAGAAACTGTGAATGCAAAGGGTAAATGAAGACCTTTCCTTTTTTCCTTTGTTGGAATGTACATGAAGTTTAGGTCATGTATCTGAAAAGGCATCGATTCGTTATCTCTGTGTTTAAGTTGTTTTAAAACTACATAATATTATGGAATACTCTGTTTTCAATTTCGTCGATAATCTATGTTTCCTAGCATTTACATCCTGAGTTATCAGGATTAAATACCTGTAGTAATAAGGCACTACATATCTGCTAGAATAAAGAACCATTCTCTGTCTATTGGAATGGCCTTTGATCTCAATCTTTTCTCTGTAACTTCCAGTCCGAAGTATTTGCCGTGGCATTTGCACTACTTGCAGCGGGGGCAGTGATCCTGACACTAAATGTGTTGCTCCTGGTAAGCACACATTTTGATTCATGTATTGGTACAAAACCACATACTGTTCCCTTTCTTGTTGCAAGTTTTGATTTTTATACATTCTGATGCAATTTTCAGGGAGGACATATAATTTTCTTCCAAAGCCTAAGCCTTCTTGGTTACTGTCTGTTCCCTCTGGACGTTGGAGCAGTGATCTGCATGTTGAAAGACAATGTGATACTCAAAATGGTCGTTGTATCTGTGACTCTTGCCTGGAGCTCCTGGGCCGCTTATCCATTCATGAGCGCCGCCGTGAACCCGAGAAGGAAAGCTCTCGCACTTTACCCCGTCTTCCTCATGTATGTCTCTGTTGGCTTCCTGATCATTGCCATTGACTGATTCGATCTGCGAAAATGGGAAATCAGATATTGGGTCTTTGATTCAGTTTGGGTAATCATTTGGTACAGAGTAGATAGAGAATTCTCCAGCCGCGAACTATTCTGAGTTGTAATGAGATTATATATGTATAATACAGTGTTCTTTAAAGCCTTTTTGATAAAAAATCTGGTCGACATTACTTTATATGGTTTTGCTTTATCTGTATGAAACTTACGGTTCTTTTTTTTGGAAACGTATTTAACATATATAATATTAAGTAAGACCTTGATGATGAGCGTAGCTTAACTTGTAACGTAATGTTTTGTTTTCTACTACTTGTTAAGTTTGGGTAAACATTATGGATTACGAATCAAACTACTATAAGGAAATTTGGTGAAATAGTCATTACATACTAGAATGTCATAACATTAGGGATCACCAATCAGCTAATTAGCATTTCAGTTATGAAGCAAGTCTAATCTGAAGTTTATATTGTAATTTCTGTTTCACTAGTTCATTCATTTTGATGCAATATAGGGATTGTTAACATTTCATTTTGCAGCTGAATGTACTAGTGACCAATATCCATAAGCTCTTTGTTAAAAAGAATCTACCAAATAGACCTTTCACAAAGGGGGAATCAAATCTCACGAAAAGAGATTCGAATTTTGGGTGTTTTACAAAGTCAAGCTGTGTGTGTAGGATTTGTTTCTTTTTCTGTGGATTTGTTTTTAAAAGTACATGACATTATTTGGTGAAACAAAAACCACAATAAATGAATGAAGTAAAAAATAAAAAATCTGGATGAAAACTTCTTTACTGTAGTTGCATTTATTAACTTCAGAGATTATAGCTTCTGTGTCACACAACCCTCAATTATTATGTATTTCTTCTTTTTGTCTTTTCAAGTAGTTAAATTTTGTTTGGTAGCAGTAAGTAAGTAAATTTTGGGAGACGAGTGTGGTAGAGAGTGGGGGTGTGGCTCTCGAAGTGATTATGTATGTAAGAAGACAGAGCTTGCTTGTGAACTACGTCATTTCTTTTTATTAACTACTTGTATTTTTTATGTTCTTTATTTTTTTTTACCTCTTCAGGTGAAATGTGACTATCTCTCGAAGGCACCAATTGTAACAGTATCTCATACTCATAGCATTCTTTACATTGTCCGAGTTAAAATCACCCAAAAGGCCGAGATCATCGTTTTATAAAAAATTTGAATGGAGAACCAAAAAAATAAGAAAAGGAAAAGAGATATGCAGTAGTACTCTTCTTAATAGTGAAGTGAATGATTCTTTACAATTTTTTGAAAACTGAAATAAGAAAATGCCAAAGAGAGTCAGTTTCAGAAGGTACCATCATTACAAACCCTAAACCATTTTGCATAATAATATATAAAAATGCCAATTTCTGTACTTGAGGAGGATGATGATGATGCCTTTGTAACATTTGCATAATATAATAGAGTATAGCCTTACACAACTTTTGACATTTAATATATATATATATATATATGATTATTTATTGTTGGCCCTTTCGGTTGGGGTTGAGAGAGCTCGGAACCAGAGGATACAAAACTCCAAATCCAGAATCACCAACGTATCTCTGCACAGAATCTTTCGTCCAAATTTTTCCCCCACGATATCAACAACAACCAATGGGTTAAAACACTCCTAATTGTTTCCTCTTCTTACATAATTCTGAACTTTTCTGAATAATCATCAGTGTTTATTACTTTTTGACAAATATAGAAAAAGAATCAGTCACTCGTTCTAAAGTCTTGTAAATTAAACTACATGCTCTTTGGTATTAATATTAATGTTGGAACTCTATAATTGGCTCGATATAGAAAACCAAACTTGTCTTAATTCAACCTAGCGTTACTTATTAAGCTTGGCTTGGATCTACACACTTCACACTCACAGTAACTTGTAGAACGTTTTCGTTTTATTGAGTAGACAGATAATAATATACATTAAAGGTTTTTGGGTGTTGGGAGATTCCACAGTTCTGTAAAAAGTGACTCTAGTAACTTGGACCTTATCTACTGTCATTGTCATTGTGTGTCATCTCCTTTTACATATCTCACCAATTTTCCCCTATTTAAAACATCTGAAAAAAACGTCAATATTTTTATTTATTTTGTCGGCAAAATGAAACATCGATTAAACAACTTCTACTATTTGTTTTTCCATTCTCATAATACTATTTGGAAACTAATTAGATCGCTTTGGCTCATCTTAGTAGAGCATGTTTCAGCTTTGGCTAATTGCTGCAACCATCTATAGTATCTATTGTTTAAAAAAAAAATGAAACGTTATATATTAAGATAATGTAAGCTTTACACCCACTAATCTCGGAGTTGAAAATGAACACTGTATTGATTATGTTAAAAAGAGTGTTTTAACTAATTTTGGATATTGATGAGGCTTATTAATGTTGGAATCAGATCGAGATGTGAAAGAAAGTTGAAAGAGTGTTTGAGTATATAGTGGCGATAGATGTTGATATGCAAATGTAGACAAACAATGGTTGTCCCACGTAAATTCGAGTGTCCTAAAGAATAAAAATCACAAAGTCCCAACAAAACAACACAAACCCAACTGTAAGTCACATTCACAAACCCTAAACTAGTCCCTCATGTTCCCTTTTTTTTGTTGCTTTTAACTAGTTTACTTATCAAAATGTTTTTCCAAAAAGACAACATCATAAATTTTACAATGATCATTATCCTTTGAGTTAATCGTAAATATGATGACAAATATTTCCTTATCAAATCCCCCAACTATTAGATATTACATCATTAGCTAAAGATCATTATCTTTAATACATTTTTCTTTGTATCCGAGGTTAAAATTTATCATTATTTAAAAATACTATGGTGTTTTAAAAGGAATAATACTTTCTAATAAAATATTTTAATAAATTATAAAAACCAAATACGACTATACAATAAATTGCTATTGACGTTTGTATAATTCAAAAGATATTTATGTAGACGACACAAAGTAATATTTTAGAACCCCTTAATTCGAACACTAGGAACCAATCAATAAAACAAAAACCTCTTTGCTAGATTGAACCAATCCAGCTAGATGATCTGTTCTTGGCTGTCTCGTAAAAACTTACCCTCTTTTGGTATATAATGTTTTTTAATGTTTTAACTATCTCTTGTCGTGTGTGGTGTTTTTTATTGCTCATTGTACTTGTTTGTCCGATTCATTTTGCGTAAGAGTAAAAACCTATCCATTTCTTTGGTACCGTCCTTTATATTCTCTTTTCATCATTCTTCACCATTCAAGTTTTCAACCTTTTTGCTCAACCAAAAAAAAAAAGAAGGTAAATTCAATTTTTTTTTATAATCTTTATCATATTGTTGGACAAAAGAAAAAAGTCGAATAGTATCCGATGTGAGATTTACATGTCACATAACCATTACCTCTCTCGGCAGTCCCATTCAATCGATAACTTGTAATTGGTTTTGTACGTCTAGCTAGAAACCATAGACCTATGAAATAATTGAGCAAATAGTACTTGTTGCTTATATAATTTGCACCATACACAACAATTGTTGGTAATATCACCAAATATCAAAACAATTTCTCTACAAAATAAAATAGAAAAGTAAAATGTCTCCTCGACTCCTCCAACTCCAATTGCTTATAAATTGAGGTGAGCCCTTATTTCATATTTCAATAAATCCCACCAACGTCACTCTTTCTCTTTCACTCAAAAGTCTTAACCAAAAATTTGTTTCCCTCCCAAATCTCAAGAACAATAACTTCAAACAAACCACACTCTTATCTCTATAATTAAGCTAAACTCACACTTTCTCTTCTCAATTTCTCTAATTTCTTCCTAAAAATCAAAACTTTACTCTACCCTGTTTTTAAAAAACCAATCTTTTTTTTTTCTCTATAAGAAAAAACAGAGTAAAAAGATGAAGATGAGTGATTATTGGACGACAATGGCTTCTCTAGTTGGTATGTTAGCCTTTTGTCAAACAATTCTCCAGCTCGTGTTTCCGCCGGAGCTCCGACTAGCTTTCCTCCACGTCTTGACGCGCCTCCGCCACGTGTTCTCTTCTCACATCTACTTCGATATAACGGAGATTGACGGCGTCAACACCAACGAGCTCTACAACGCTGTTCAGCTCTACCTCAGCTCTTCCGTCACCGTCAACGGCGCCGTTTCTAGCAGCAACAACACACGTCTCAGCTTATCACGTGTCCCTAACTCGAGCTCCGTCACTTTCGGCCTCTCCAACAACGACAGAATCACCGACGTATTTAACGGCGTCACTGTTCTCTGGGAACACGTCGTTGTTCAACGTCAAGTACAGAGCTTTTCGTGGAGACCAATGCCGGAAGAGAAACGAGGGTTTACGTTACAGATCAACAAGAGAGACAAAAACCTTGTCTTAGATTCTTACCTCGATTACATTGTCGGAAAATCAGAGGAGATTCGCCGGAGAAACGAGGAGAGGCTTCTTTACACGAACTCGAGAGGCGTCTCGCTCGATGCCAGAAGCCATCCATGGGATTCGGTGAGATTCAAGCATCCGAGCACGTTCGATACTCTTGCCATGGATCCCGAGAGGAAGAAACGGATCATGGAGGATCTAAGAGAGTTTGCGAGCGGACAAGGGTTTTATCAGAAGACCGGAAGGGCTTGGAAGAGAGGGTACTTGTTGTATGGACCACCTGGAACTGGCAAGTCGAGTTTGATCGCTGCAATGGCTAATTATCTTGGCTATGATATCTACGATCTTGAGCTCACGGAGGTTCAGAACAACTCTGAATTGAGGAAACTGTTGATGAAGACTAGCTCTAAATCGATCATTGTTATTGAGGACATTGATTGTTCTATCAGTTTGACGAAACGTGGAAAGAACAAGAAGAGGAATGGGAGCTATGAGTATGACCCGGGTTTAACCAACGGGTCGGGTTTGGATGAACCGGGGAGCTCGGTGACTCTCTCGGGGTTACTGAACTTCACTGATGGGCTTTGGTCTTGTTGTGGGAGTGAGAAGATCTTTGTGTTCACGACCAATCATATCGAGAAGTTAGATTCTGCTCTGTTGAGAAGTGGGAGGATGGATATGCATATTCACATGGGGTTTTGTAAGTTTCCGGCTTTGAAGATTCTGTTGAAGAATTATCTGAGGCTTGAGGAGGACGAAATTGACGGCGTCGTCTTGGAGGAGATGGAGGAATGTGTGGAGGAGGCCGAGATTACGCCGGCTGATGTTAGTGAAGTGTTGATTAGGAGTAGGAGTGATGCGGAGAAGGCTGTGAGAGAGCTTGTGTGTGTGTTGAAGGAGAGAGTTGTGAAGAGAAAGAAGAGTGTTGGATTGAAGAAGAAGAAAGAGGAAGGTGAAGAAGAAGAAGAAGAAGAAGAAGCCGAAGCAGAGGAAGAACAAGAGAAAAGAGCTTTAGATAGTCCTAATAGAAACAGAGAGGTATTTGGATTTCAAGATGAAGAAGAGGAAGAAGATGAAAAGGAGAAATGAATGTAGTAGGATCATCATCTAAATCGTTCATGTGTTATCTTAATTATCCGTTGTTTAGTCAAAAATATTATAAGATATGATTAGTAATTTATATAATATAAGGTTTCCATTTTGGTGAATGGGGCAAGTCATAAGTAGGCAAGGGTTATGAGATTGCTAGGAGGTTTTAGTTGATATAGTAACATGAGACAAAACCTTCACATACAAAACTCGTTTTTAGTTGTGAATTATCTATATGTTCATCGATGCTGCAAGGTTTGGATCTTTACATGGCAAGTTAGTTGTGAGCTTTTTGTAGGATTGAATCATCAAAGGCCTACCACTTTGTTGTAGTACTTGTTTTGTTCTCAATTTTTCGTGTCGGATACGTTTGTTTGGTCACTAGACTCTCTAAATGCAGCTAAAAACCAAAAATGGTTTAAACTTTATGGTGGAAGAGAGATAATAGAGAATTGACGTTTGAATGCTGTTATTTTGTTACTGTCACAAACCAATAAATTTTTAAAAAATTGTTTAGGAAACCAATTAAATTGGAAGTGACGTTAAAAGAATCATCACATCAAAGCTAAAAAGTAAACTGAAAACAATCCATCAGTTGTAATCAATTTCTTACCAAAGCATTACAATGTTGACTACTGAAAGATCTTTGACTTGTAGAGCAATTAAGCCCAATCCTATCAAAGAGGTTGGTATCAGAAAAGTTGTTCTATATTATATTATGGACCAATCTCTGGACTCCCACATTCCCAAATTCTAGTCCATAATAGAAGAACCGAGACTTTGGCAATCTTAATCACCTCAAATGAACCACCGGTTAATGTAAAAAACAATTAAAGCAAGAACCGGTCTTTGTAACTAATGTCATGATATTGGTTGCTTAGTTTTAGACTGAGATCACCAAAATCAAGGTTTTGGTTTTTGGAGAAGGTGGGATTAAAGTGATGGTTCCAGGTTTTTTTCTCTTTTTCTTGTTGTTGAATATTTTGAGTGATTTATTAAGTTAACCATGCGTTACACATGCCACTATATTAAATATTTCCTACTATCCATTAATATTTAATACTCCTATATAAAACAAAAATTACAGTTGAGTTTATTTATTAGTGAAACTAGTCATGAGCAGTTGACTTGTTTTAAAAGTAGTAATTAAATAATAAAACAATTTAAAAAGAAAAATGCGTTGGCGAAAAATTGATGTTGCGGCAAAGCCAGTAGTAGGCCCAACAACAACACGGGACATTCTTGATGTTTTTTCTTTGTTCCTAACACAGAGCACTAATCACCTGCGGCTAAGACCGTATTAGCTTATAATCTAATCCAGTTAAAATATGCCACGTGTAAAATGTTGTGGGTTAGTGCAGGCCTTCTTTAATATTTGTATCTTCCATTAATGTGTTTTTTCTTAGTTAAAAAATAAAACGTAAAGCTGGGAAAATAAAAATTCCTTCTTTCTTGAAGAAGCAAAAGAGGAAGAAGAGAAGAGAAGAGAAGGGAGCAGAATCTATTGTTTTGGATTTTAATCGGAGGGAGTTTATTCCGACGATTGGTTTGGTCTTAAATTGAATCTTAATTGGAGGGGTTTTGGTTTGGCAGAGAAGATGATGGTAGCTAATAGTTTCGATCTTTGGCAAAAGGATGTTTTTTTCTCCGCTGCTGAGGAGGTTCAAGAATCTTCTGATATGTAATGTTTTTTATCTCATGTTTCTTCTTCTTCTTCTTCTTCTTGTTCTGCTCAATTGTTTTCTGTGTATTAGCTTGTGTCATTTAATTGAGAAATAGGGGGTTTTGAGTTAGATGGTTCTCTGTTTCTTTTAATTCGTATTTTCGTAAATTGGTTGGCTCTAGCATGATCTAAGTGACGAATTTTTGTGTATTTGATCGAATTGAGCTTTCGATTTCATGATATAGGTGAAGAATTGAGATATTTAATTTGAAAGTTTTATTCTTTTTTTTCTGTGTGATTCCAGAATGGAGTCTGCATATAGGTTGTGGATTAAAGAGAAGAGAGAAGGTAGTCGAGTATCCTTGGATTCAGACGAGCTCTGCAAAGAACTCCAAGCTGCTTTGAGTACTGCTAAATGGCAGGTATAAAAGAATGGTCTTTCATGGTACATCGTGAGTTTGTTGTTGTTTGTGAAATTTCACTCTCAAGTTTAGTGGTTTTGGTTTTTGTTGTTGTAAACTTGATTCAGTTGGAAGAGTTTGAGAGGGCTGTGAGGTTGAGCCATGGCAATTGTCGAGATGACAATACATTGACTAGGCATAAACAGTTTGTTGCCGCTATTGAAAGCCAGATTTATCGAGTAGAATCTGCTCTGCAAGAGGCGTTAAGTGAGAATGGGAAACAACCTTTGCGTTGGGTGGATCTTAACAAAGAAGAGCGTGATGACCTTGCTATGTTTCTATCTGGATCTTCTCAGACGTCAGAGAGTTTAAACAGTGATAGCATCAACTTGAGAGATTCCTCAACAAGTTCCATAGCAGAGAATCCACGTGGGGTGAATGGTAGAAGAGAGGCTAGATGTTACGGTGACAGTCCTTCTGACTGTGTGATAGACATTGATGAGAGAGGAAGCCCGGAAAGTGCTGATGCCATGATCCGCTTGCAAGCAGATAAAAAAGCCGGTACAAGAAGAACATGGAGTTCACCAAATGTACCAAATATCAATGCGTTGAGGATCAATGTTCCCTTTAATGCTAAAGAAGAAGAGAGGAAGAAGTTTCTGTCACAAATCGAAGCCACTCCTAAAGAAAAAGGATCTAAACCTCTGTTTTGGCTGCAGAGATGTCGTGATTTTAACCAGGTAAGCTTCTGCGAGCAAATCATCCCTATGTTATTATAGCGGATCATAAGTCTTAGCTGTTCATTTTTGTGCAGCTCTTTGACAGAGTCGGTTTATATCAAAGGCGATTTCGTGTTCCATTTAGCCGCCCGATTCAGCTCATTCTTTCCTTAATGCTAATCTTGTTTCTTCTGAGTGAGTCCCTCTTCTTGATTCTCATGAGTTTATGTCACACTATTGTTCCATCACCGTCTCTTTAACAGGTTCAGTTTCCATTGGTTTCCTCTCTTGCAGTACCGTTTCAAGTTTATTCATCTTGAGAACCTACTAAAACAATGGTTTCGGAAACTCTCAAGAAAAAGTGACAGGTGAATGATATTTCCGGATCAAAATCATAACTCCAAGTTTTCTAAAACAAATCTGTAAATTAAATGTTTAACCCTTCTCGTGGATGTTGCAGGTTGTGTTTCACAGACTCTTGCGTATTTGGTTACACATGTTAGATGGATGCTACATGATTCAACATCCCTGAAGAAGGACAAGAGAGGTTAAATAAAGCTTTGTCAAGATTCAAAATGCTTTTATTAATCCACAGGGAACATATAGGAGACCTGTAAATTTGTAAGACCAATTTGTAAAACATGAAGCTACGTTTCGTAAAACATTAGACGTGTACCTGTAGAAACCAAAATGCGTGTTGTGTTCAATGAAATCTCCAGTGTTTGTTTGTCTCTCAGATATTATTTGTTAGCAAAACATTCTTTGTCCCCTTTCACTTCCTTCACAAGTCTCCTGTTCGAATCATTGTAGTTGACGTGTCAATTTCTTTCATCACTACGTTCAAATCTTAAGTATCACAGCCTAAAAGTATCAGTTTAGGTCAATAAACAATAATATGAACCTAAAATCAAAATCTCCACCTATATAAACTCAATAGATATCTTAAGATTAAGTTGATCTATTGATAGAAACACATGAATATGGTGAAATGATTCGTAAAGTAAGAAAGAAAGAAAAAAGTATAACAATCATAAATCTAGAAGTCTCTAGACAAAAAGAAAGGTGCATGTCACAGTCTTTTAAGATGGAATCTGATCATACCATTTTATCAACCATGAATTTCGAAACACAAATAAATGCTAAGAAAGATATATAATAACTTCCTGTCAAAATCATAGAAAATGGACTAGTCCCAATAAGAAAAAAGTAAAGTAATAAATATTTTTCATATCCTTCTCGTGCCTCTTTCGATCATCATTCATTCCTCACCTAACCAATTCAATTTCAAAAACTATAAGACCAACATTAACAATGGGTTTTAGAGAGTATGTTAGGGTATTGAGGTTATAAAAATAAATCAAAATTGATTAATTTTACTAAGATACTTGAGTTGGGTATGTTGGAGAAGGATTCTTTTTGTGGGTTAAGAGACGCCACGTGGCGCAATCGGATTGGGTAAGTTTTTTTTTTTAATTTTTTAATTTTTTTTGGAGAATGATTCTTTTGGTGGGTTATGACATTATAATTTTTTAAAAAAAAAATTTTTTATTTTTTTTGTAAACCATTTATTATGACATTACTATAATTTCTATGAATTGGGTAAGTTGATAATTATATTATGACATAACAATTTTCAAATTTAACTATGAATTTGATGAATCGATGTTAAGAAAAACCCAATAAAATTAGCCATACATGAAAAACACAAGTCAATTTCTTATATTACAAATTATAAATTTATTTAATTTTAAAAAAAGATTAAGATATCCAAGTTAAGATCCTACCAATAAACACATCTCAAAACTAAAAACAAAATAAAAACTCTTAAACTCTACTTTTTCAAATTTAATACTAAATTAATACTAACATATCCTAACTAACATCCTTCCTATAATGTTGCTCTAACATATGTAAATAAAACAATTTTCTTAAAATATATAAATTCGTATATTCAAACAGATAGCTGAAAATACAAAACGAAAAACAAATAAACAAAAAATCTTAAAGGAAAAGAAGATATATTTATGGTCCAAACTATTATCGACATTCTTTCACAAAAATAAATTAGAATATCGATGAAACTTATAACTAAATGACGATCCTATCCTTCTCATCTCAGTCTACAGCAATGCAATTCCCGTAAGGACAAGGTCGTAATTTTAAGGATGTGGCACCCAAAACGGCGCCGTAGCAGCCACGCTTGTAGGCTCTTTGCAACTTAAAGCGTTGAGAAACCTCCAAGAAGGAGACGGTGACGGCGATCGAGATCTACGAGATTTCCGGTTAGCAGGTGACGGAAACATAACCGGTGGAATATTCCGGCGACTCTGACGGTTCTTGATATCCTTTAGTTCAATCTCCGGTGGGAACTTAACCATTCCAAACATAATCACATACCATCTTCTCGGTCTTACACTTTTCCCACTTCCAGACGCCGCCGTTTCAGGCTTCGCTGAGTTCTTGGCCGGAGAACTACTTTTGGTCGGATAATGTACGGTGTTTGGCTCACGTGAGAGCTTGCGATAATCTAGAGAACGGCTTGTCCTCATAGGTCCGGCATTGTCAAGACGTGCCACGGTATTACTCCCGGGACGGTTAATCTTATGGCCTTGTATCGCCGATAAGGACTCGGACCGTGAGCGTATTCTAGGGGTTATGTGTTCGGGAGGCGAGAAGAGAGCACTTTGGTAGTTTAAAGGGATGAGTTTGCCGCCGAAGATTATGTTTTCTGCCGGAGAAACGTCGTAGGAGCTTGAGGTAAGAAACTCAAAAAGCTCCGTTGAAGGTGATTCATGGTGGTCTTCGGTGGCGGCGGTGGGATTGATGTGTTCTGCGTTGAGGGGAAGTTCTCGGAGAGATACTGATTCTTCTTTGTCTTCTTCTTGACAACACTGAAATGGTTTTGTGAGTTTAGTAGGGTTTTGGAGATTAGTGTTTTTTGAAGTTTCCATGTTTTTCAGGGAGAGAGAAGAGTAAAGAGAAAGACAATGAAGATCTTGGAAGTGTTAAGTTTATCTTTTTGTCACCGTACATATATATATACATGGCCTTCTAGAGGGTCAAATACTTTTACAAGAACTTAAAGTGGAAACTATTTCGTTTAACGTGTTACAATTCTCTAGGTGTTAATTTTTCCTACACATACATTGATTGATGCATATATTATTTGTAGATTTTTGACCCATGCACCCAAAGTTTTGTATTTGCCAAATTTCCCATGATTTTTCAAAAGATGTTAGATCTTATTTATGACCTATGAATATGAATTTTGGTAATAACAATTTTATTCTTTTAACACCAACAAATAGCATATTCTTAATTGTTAATGACCAATAAAATAGCATAACGTCTAACAATAGTAACTCTGTTTTAGTCTTCATATATATATCATTGATCATTTATTCATGAATCTTTCCGATTTTATGTTTTATATTCATCTCAGAAATTAAATTTAGTTATTCAAAAGCCTGGTCAAGAATGATTCATATAAATTCGTCAAACACAATTAATAATGTTTGAAAAATCGAATTAAAATTTTCTTCTTGATGTAAAACTTTGGTTGAAATGACTATGCAACACACATAAATGACCACGATCACAAAAATTTGGATAGATATATACACCCAACCAGTAAAAATAAATAGACATGGACAAAAGCTAATGTTATGTATAAAATATGGACTCAGATTAATGTACAACTTCGAATATCTTATTCGAGGTTTTTTTTAACAAATATTAAAATACATCACATTTCATTCCGTTAGTTTGTTTTTTTCCATTAACATATAGCCATGTGTTATTGATGTATTTTAACTTTCATATTATACATATATGCCTGCCAACATTTCTGTTTTCAATATAAAATAGTTAGCGAAACACAAACTTCAAAACTATTGAAACAATTCTGATTGGATATATTTGTAAAGTAGGACATCAATTAATTTTATATTGAAAGGATAGAAGAATAAGAAAGTTTGCACAAACAAAACTGTATGAAGCATACTGTTTGTGAAGATATATAATCGAGACTAACCAAGAGAAAGACTAAGACATATTGTGACAAAACAAAAAAATACAAAACAATTGCTGAGGTATGAATCGTTTCGTGTAACTGAGGTCAGCGAGAATAAGACTTTCGCCGACTAACACTAAATATTCGTTTCGCTTATCACAAGTTGGGGTTAACACGATGATTATACTCAATAATATTTTAATACTTTGAAATTTTCACAAATTTAGTTTTGGTATACGAAATCGACGGAGTAGCAGTGAGTAGTGATGATGAAAGGAACTCAACTGTTAAAGAAACAAAGCTAAAGGAAAGCAATTAGCTAGAGCCACAGATCTACACTTTGTTTACTCGTTTTCAACTTACATCAACTTATACTGCAAGGCACACAAGTCATAATTACGTTACGATCATATCCACATTGCTTGACCACAAAGTTTGATTTTGTTTTCCTTTTTAATAACAATTCTTGTGGGTGCTATGTTACTATTTTACCTTTAAACACAAAAAAGTAAGATGATTCACATTGGAGTTTACTTAAAAGTTTCATGATGTGAATAACTTTTTCCTCTTAGCATGCTGAATTTATAAGCGTTTTCTCTTTATCATGGTAAAAAAATTATTTTATTTATTTATGAGATGACGACCTAGAAATTTGACAAATACACTTTGCACTAGATGATCCATATCAACAAAAAGAAATTTGATGGGTGGTTCTCCCCAATTATTTTGTCATATATTATGTGATTAACTCACGTTTTAATTTTGGATTTAATTAATAATTACAGAATTCTAATGGAATATGTATACACATAGATAATTTAAACTATTAATTGGATGGTCAAAAAGATGAAAGTCAACTAAATTATCTTTTTAAGGCAAGTCGACATAATGTAAAGATCAATGGACTTTTCTTGTTTTTTTTTTTTTATGTTCACGTCCAATAGCAAAAAGGAAAGGTAAAAGAGTATGTATAACTTAAGCATTGGTAGATGCAAATTCAGAACTCATAAGTCAATAGCCATATCAAATTTGGGATAATCCAGAAATAGGTTTTGGTTTAAGTATAGTCCTATATATATATACCAAAAACATGACTACATATATGAGCTGCTGAATCCAACATATTAATTCAGGACTGATGAAATGAGTTTTGTGTTGGATCACTTGTCTCTTCCATTTTTCTCTATTCATATTCATTAATAAAGGGATAATCACTTAATAAAAGCATTCCGAATGGTTTGGATGTGTATAATTATGACAACATTATTATTAAATCGTATTAGGCCATCTAAAGATTACTCACATAATTTTTCTAATGGGCCTAAATAAATTTATATTGGGCCCCTATCTTTTTGTTTAGTTGTATCCAACGAATCTGGAAAGTGAAAACCATAAACCCTAAAATCGAAAGATCGAAGAAGAAGAAACCACACAAGTAGCGATTTCGCTCATCTGCTCGAATCTTTCGTTTCGCCTCTTCTTCGTACGCTAACTCATGGCTGTAAGTTCCGATCTCTTTCTTCTCCCTTCGCCAATTTCGAGCTTCGATTCGATATTTTCTTTCTTCGTTGAGCTCAAATTTTGGAATTCCACTTGTTTAGTGGTTCTGAGCTCTTACAGCTCTGTTTTCTTCGATTCATCCTTCTCCTTCCTATAGATTTGTCTAGTTAGAAGTAAATAAGGATCGATGAGTGTGGTTTTTAGTGTATACGACTGCGAATTTGTGAATCCTGGTTTTGTAATCGACTCTCTATATACACTTTGTGCCATTGTGTTATGTGTAATTAAGAGTATATTTACTTGAGTTGGAACCAGAACAATGTGAAAATTTCATCTGATACTTGAGATGCTTTGAGTACACTCGAATGGTATTTTGAAGATCCATGTTTGTGAATCCTGGTTTTGTAAATTGACTCTTATACTTTACTTCTTCCCATTGTTTTTACATGTAATTAAGAGTAGTATAGTCACTACATAGGTTCATTCCATGATACTTGAGATGCTTTGAGTTCTCATTCGAATGGTATTTTGATGTTCCATGTTTGTTTGTGTTTTAAAATTGTTTTGCAGACCATTCCAGTTAACCCGAAACCATTCTTGAACAACTTGACTGGCAAGACTGTTATCGTTAAGCTTAAATGGGGAATGGAATACAAAGGTACCATCTAAATTTCTCTCTAGTGTGGTGAATTTTTTACAGCTTAGTTAATCAGAGCTTTACATCTTTATTATATAGTCTTCCCCTGAATCTTTTGTTACTTTCACAGGTTTCCTTGCCTCTGTTGACTCCTACATGAACTTGCAGGTACGGTCTTTGCTTCTATGTTCAATTCTTTTAAGTTGTATAATGTTATCTCTGTACTTTAAAACAGAGGTTGATGTTATATATATTTCTCAAAAACCACCTGCTAATTATTCCTTCGACATATGAGTTTTAGAGGAATGCTACAATCTATTAGTTATACGTATATAGAGAGATACATATATCATCATTTCTTTGCAGCCACTGAGATTTTCCAAACTGTTTTTTTTTTTGGTTTTCAGCTGGGAAACACTGAGGAATACATCGATGGGCAATTGACAGGAAACCTTGGAGAGATCTTGATCAGGTAATATTACTTTATTATCTTTACTTATTGTCTCCTTAAAAATTTAGTTTGTGTCCAGCAAATAATGTTTCGCAGTGAAGAATTGGACTTAGGCATTAACTAGACCCACAGGTTTAAATCTCTGTTAGTCAGGGAATCACTAAACAACTTTCGTAATTGCTTTGATTCTTACGGATCTGTTGAAATAATTTTATCGAATTTGTGCATGCAGATGCAACAATGTTTTGTATGTCCGAGGTGTGCCAGAAGATGAAGAACTTGAAGATGCTGATCAAGACTAGCCTATGCTTTTGAGGACTTAGAAATCGTTCTGTCTGTATTTTTAAAATCTTGTATTCTATGAGCTATTCAACCCATGTTCGTGAGATTTGAGTGTGATGTTTAATTTGTTGATACCTCGAAAGTAGTTTTATGATAAAACGTACTTCCTGTCGTTTATTTTGTCATCAAGATGGGATGCATGTCGTTTTAAAGTTGGGATATATCAAAAAAGCTTTTAGAAAATTGCAGTGCTTGTGTAGACAAAAAAAACTAATATCGTCATTTTGATTTTGATTCTGTGGGGTAATTATAATTCTACTTCTACAGCCATAGGTTTTGACTTTTGATTATGCCCCCTGTAGCTTTTGCGATCCCAACGAGCTAGGATCGTCGATCAAGAAGAAGCTATTCTCATAGTGGATCTCTTCCTCTCGTTCTATAGATAGAATATGGCTGTTGCGTTGCGGATGCGTGTTTCCCGAGTCATCCATAAAGATGAAGATTGGTAAGCCGAGCCGCACTAGGGCATGCTTTCAAACCTCCGTAGAGAATTAATTCACAATGCAAGGGTAATAAGCAAGCAACAAAGACAGCGCAGTTAGTTGGTAACTATGTTTTGTAGTCAAACCCTCTAAAATAACAACACGTTTAACAAAGTCCAAAGATTGATAAAGAATAAATCTATATTTATTAATTTTAGAAACTCACTCAAAGAAAATATTAAAGTCAATCAAAGCTAATTCTTTTTAGCTTCATTGAGTTACTACCATGGATTGTTATCAACTTCAATCCAGAGAAACGATTAGTCATAGATTTAAAGAGTGAATTCCAGTGCTTTGTTGCTATTGTCATACACCATAGATCCTCAGGTCTTTGTATCTTCCTAAAAATTTCTTCTCTTAAAAGTTCATCAGGTAAATCCATAATTGTTGTAGTACTCTTTTCACTCGCCATGTCTTCTTCTACTCCAGCCCATCTTTTCATCTTCCTCTTTTTCTTCTCGTTCTTCCTCTTCATCCTCCTCTTCCTCTTCTCATTCTTCATTGTCACCTTCATCTTCCACTTCTCATTCGTCTTCTTCATCATAATGTTATCAAAAAGGGAGTACGTAGTGTAGTTTAAATTGAGCAATTCAACCCGAAAAAAAAAGGAAGCACGTACGTAGTGCTTTAATTTAATTTGGAAATTTAACAAAGAAAAAAAAAAAATATATATATATATATATATTTAGAGAGAGACAGAGCTTCGTTGAGTGCTCAGCATAAGAAGAAAGAAGAAGAAGGTGAAGGTGAAGAAGAAGAAGACATTATGATGAAGAAGACGAATGAGAAGTGGAAGATGAAGGTGACAATGAAGAATGAGAAGAGGAAGAGGAAGAGGAGGATGAAGAGGAAGAACGAGAAGAAAAAGAGGAAGATGAAAAGATGGGCTGGAGTAGAAGAAGACATGGCGAGTGAAAAGAGTACTACAACAATTATGGATTTACCTGATGAACTTTTAAGAGAAGAAATTTTTAGGAAGATACAAAGACCTGAGGATCTATGGTGTATGACAATAGCAACAAAGCACTGGAATTCACTCTTTAAATCTATGACTAATCGTTTCTCTGGATTGAAGTTGATAACAATCCATGGTAGTAACTCAATGAAGCTAAAAAGAATTAGCTTTGATTGACTTTAATATTTTCTTTGAGTGAGTTTCTAAAATTAATAAATATAGATTTATTCTTTATCAATCTTTGGACTTTGTTAAACGTGTTGTTATTTTAGAGGGTTTGACTACAAAACATAGTTACCAACTAACTGCGCTGTCTTTGTTGCTTGCTTATTACCCTTGCATTGTGAATTAATTCTCTACGGAGGTTTGAAAGCATGCCCTAGTGCGGCTCGGCTTACCAATCTTCATCTTTATGGATGACTCGGGAAACACGCATCCGCAACGCAACAGCCATATTCTATCTATAGAAAGAGAGGAAGAGACACTATGAGAATAGCTTCTTCTTGATCAATCGCAAAAGCTACATGGGGACATAATCAAAAGCTATGGTTGTTGAAGTAGAATTATTATACCCCAACAGTATCAGAATTACGATATTAGTTTATTTTGTCTACACAAGCATTGCAATTTTCTAATAAATTTTTTAAAAAAAGAAGATTAATTTTTTTTTGGGGGAATTTCAAAAATGCCCCTTTTCCAATACCACTTTTTAAAAATACCCCTCTTTCTAATTTTATTAAAAAGTCACTATAAAATTTGAAATTTATCAAAAACATATGTGTAAGCTTATATTTCTAGACACAAATTATCTTTATATGTGTGTAAATTTATATATATATTTCATAAATACCGTATAAATACCTTTTAAAAACCTTTTAAAATCATTTAAAAACCTTATAAAAACTGTGTAAACCTTTTAAAAACCTAACCTTATAAATGTCGTTTAGAACTTTTTAAAACCTTATAAATATTTAGATTTAGTTTCCCAGTAGTAATGATGATTTTAATGTACCTTATCAACCATATAAAAGTTTATAATTTTTCATATTTGAAAAGGGGTATTTTTGAAAATGGATAGAAAAGAGGGGTATTTTTAAAAAGGGGTACACCAAAAGGGGTATTTCTCAAAAATTCTTTTTTTTTTTTTAATGACTTTTCAATAGATCAAAGTCAGTGTACATAACAATTAACAACTCAATGTATCGCATACCTACTTTGAACAAACTATATGGTTTGGGAAGCACTTGACATATCCCAACTTAAAAACGACATGCATCCCATCTCAATGACAAAATAACGGCAGGAAGTTCGTTTTAATCATATATATAAAAGTAAGGTTTCACTCTCTCCTTATTGGTGGAAAAACATTTAAATCCTTTATTTTTTTTAAAATATATATACAAAAGTAAATGTTTAAGACAATTATTCAATACAAAATTTAATTACACTATAAGTTATAAACAAATGGCAAAGAAAATGAAAGGAGTTAATTAATATATATATATATATATATATATATATAAAGTAAGGTTCACACTCTCTTTAATGCTACATTTGATATTTAATTTTTAAAAAAATTATAATTTATTTACCAAATAACACATTTAATCATATACATAAATTCATACTTTAAATCCACACTTTACTACTAAAATGTAACTGAAAATTATATAAATTTTCAAAGACTATTTGTTTTCTTTATTGAATTCCAATTACACACTATAAATTATAATTATGACTCCTCTAATTTAATTATTTTAAAAATGTAACTTACATCACTTCTTATCCTATAAATAGTCATTCTCACATCCTCCTCTACCATATCTCATATCTTCATTATTTTCTTTGTTTTTTTAAAAACGTTTTTGCATGGGGTGAAAACTCAATTAATATGTCATTGTAAGAGTTTGATTAAATATTTAATTTAAACTTTTGTTTTTTTATATGTATTTTTCATTTCTTCATTGTTTTTTATATATTTTCAAATGTAATACATATGTATAATAATATTTTATGGTTATAAAAAAATTATTTTATTGATGGGATTCAATAATATTGAATTCCGATCTTTGCACAATATGAAAATCAAGCTAAAGAAACTATCTTCATTCTTTTACTTTGTATGTTTGTTTGTTTCTCACATATTTTATGTATATTTATTTTAATTTCAAAAGTATGTAATTTTTATCAAAATAAATTTTTGTTATATAATTATCAAACCAATTTGTAAGACATTATTTTAAGAATAATGATCCTTATATTTAGTTTGTGATTCAACATTTAATAATATAAAGAACATTATAATTTTTGTTAACTTTGAATTTTATACTTGATTTCCTATCTAAAAAACAATTTGATGTTCAATTTTATATCTATTATATATACTAAAAGGATGAAAATAATTAAACCTATAGATATAACTTAAATTAAGAGGATTATAAAAAAAATTAAAAAAATAAAATTATTGTTTGGGAATTTTTAAGGTTTCACTCTCTCCTTATTGGTCCATTTAGCGTTTATTTTTAATTATAATATTTATTTCTAATTAAACCAAATATCTAACACATTTAATCATATACTTTAATTCATACTTGAAATCAACATTTTACTACTAAATTGTAACTGAAATTATATAACACACTATACGTTATAATTATAACTCCTTAATTTAATTATCTTAGAAATATAAAATACATAATATTTTATCTTATAAATACCCATTCTTACACCCTCCTCCACCATATCCGATACCCTCAATATTTCCTATGTTTTATTTTCTAATATTTTTTTATGGGTTAAAAGCTCAATTAAGATATCATTGTAAGAGCTTGATTATATATTTGGTTTAATATTTTATTTTCAATTCTATTTTTTTTTGTTTTATGTACTTCTTCATTGTTTTTTCTTTTTTCTTTTTTCTGTCATCACTTCATTGTTTTCTCATACTATTAAATGTATAATACATTATATAATAATTTTTATGGCTATAAGAAAATTACTTTATTGATGGGATTCAAAAATATTGATTTCCGACCATCGCACCATAAGAAAATCAAGTAAAAAAAAACCATCTTCATTCTTTTACTTTAGATGTTTGTTTCTTTCTCACATATTCATGTATATTTATTTTATTTTCAAAAGTATGTAATTATTGTAACAAAATAATTGTAATTATTAAACCATTTTGTAAGACACTGAAATAAATAAAATTTTATACACGAATAAAGGTTTTGTGTATGTATATTTATAAGGTTACACACATATTTAGATGAATTTCAACATTTTAAGTGATTTTTTTGATAAGTTTTGAAAAGGGATAAATTTTAAAAGTGGTATTTGAAAATGTGTATTTTTAAATTTCTCTCAATATCATTTCTATTTTTATCATTAACAATATTTTTTTTTTTAATCAAAAAATACTCAAAACTAGTGAAGAAAATTATTATCAAAATTGAACAATTAATCAACGAATAAATTGAAGAGATATAAATGTATGTTTCTATTGTATGATTTAAATAAATAAAGTGTAAAAATGTTATAAACATTGAAATTTATTTGTTTTATTTTTTATAAGTAATAAATAAATTAAAATTAATTAATTTAATATACAACAACCCGTGCATATGCGCGGGACATTACCTAGTTATCATAAAACTACTTTCAACAAATTAAACATCACGCTCAACTC